AAAAAAAAAAAAAAAAAAAATGCAAGATGGAGACATTTTGCACAATGAAGTTCAAACATAGGGATGTTTAGTGCTAACAACCCCTAATTTAAACTTTAAGATTAGAATTTGAACATTTATGTGAATTATACTTCGGTTGTAGTGAACTTGTTCAATCTTAAATAGTGGGGACAACATTGTAGAATGAAAAGTTGATGAATAAACTTATAATTCTAGGAGGTGCATGTAATGTGGCATGAACCATGGATCTCATGTATTCAACCTTTATTTTGTTAAACCAAGACTTCTTTTAGCAATTTTGGCACCTCAGATACTGAAGTTATACTTCATCCATCATCTATGAGGTGGAGATGAATAGGTCGACCTATGGATTCTCATTTTCTCTTTTCTTTTTGTCATTTCGTTCAAAGAGTTAAAGGGAGATAGTGCATCAAAATTATTGTCTTATATTTTCATACCTCTTTTAGCGATGAACAAAAAATTATTTAATTTGCCAATTCGAACCCAAATTGCAGTTTAGAAATCGTTAATTTAGATGCACGGGATTTATATTTCGATTTTTAAAAACTGCTAAAAATCAATATGGAGTATTCATCCAATTTAATAAAGAAATTGTTTTATTCAAGATACATTGTTTATTATCTTAATTTACATTTAAGAAAATTTTATAATTTACTTGCTAAAGGTTTCTATTGACCTTTTCAAAACTTATTTTCAACCAAACATTTTTCTTTAAAATAAGTTTACATGTAAGTAAGTCAAAAAATTCTCCTTATTTATTAATAACACATTCTCCAAAAAATCACTGTTTCAAAACACATATTCACCAAGAGAAGGGTGGGGTGCACTCAACACATTTTTAAATATTAGCCCCTATTTGAGCTACATTCTCATTTTTATTCTCTTTTTCTACTCATTTTTAACAACCCATTTTTTAATAAAATAATATTTTTCATCACATCGACAATTTTTCTTTCTTTTTCAACCACATATTCACTATCACATCACAAAAAAAATGCATTTTTTTCCATTTTAATGTGTACCAAACACACTCTTAATATCGTTTACCTGTACCTCAATTATTAATTTTGTTTTCTACATAGATTCTCGTCATTGGGAAACATTACCAAATTAACATGTGATTATTTTTTAATCGAAAGAACTCTTTAACTTCGATGACCATCATTGCTAAAATAAAAGTTTGATTGTCATGATGACACATTTTGAATGTTTAGTGACCAAAAATCTTTTAATCTACAAGGGTGCGTTTGATTGCAATCAAAAATATTTTTCATAGAAAAAATATCAATCAAACAATATAAAAGTAAGAATTTGAATAAAAAGAAAAAACATTTTTCATGAAAAATATTGACAATCAAACACACTCTTAATTATACTGTTGACACACAAAAAAGGCAGCCCAAATCAAATGGCCCAAGAGAGGAAATGACTCAAAAGAAGAAGCCCAGATAGAGAGATCAGGGTAAAAGCCCAACCAGAAATATCATTAAGTATGATGAAAGCCCAAAAAGACAAAGGTACGACGTCGCCCAAACCTGCAGGACGCCCAAATATTGAGCGAATGAAACACCCTATAATCGCCCAGAGCAGAAGATCAATTGTCGCCCAAGAATGCTGAGTCGCCCAAAGTCCCAGAAATGACTAAAGTTTGTTGTTATCCAAAATCACGATCTAAGACGGTTTGAGCACATCATAATTACGCCCCACGATTTGAGAAAGTTGATGGCAAGCAGTTATGAAGAGAGTGTAGTGATAGGAGTTGCACACGGTAGTTATTAGCCAGCCAACCATGATGAAAGAAATGGGTAGTTACAAGCAGTTGCTAAACGATCAAAAACTGCCCAAACCGTATAAAAGAAGGAAGAAGACAACGAAGAGGACCCGACAAAATTCACTATCAAAACAGAGAATATGTAACTTACTTTTCTTAAATTAATTTTTAATTACTTCAATTCCCTTGTACTTGTGTGCTTGCGCCCCTTGGAGGTATCTTATTCGTGTCCAAATTGTAATCTTCATATTGAATAAATGTCCCTTTTTGGGACTTTGTTCCAAGAGGTTTGTCCCTTATACAATCGTCTGATTCCCTTTTTAATTGTTAACGAGTGAAAACGCGCGAAACATATACATATCTTTTATGTCCAAGAAAAAGCAAATTACCATAGTACGCGTCGCATATTTGCAAATTTGCCCGCCAACTAAAATGCAAATTTCCCGCCATTTTCAATCCTCCAGGATAACGCGTGTTAGAAGAAACGACATCGTTCTATCAATAAGCTACACAATGTCTTAAAAACGACACCGTTGCCAGATACGGGCCCACAGTGTCACTCACTACCCAGGAATCCCTGAAATATCCTCAATAACGAAAATATTCCCCATACCCGTCCCTAAAATAGCATGCTAAATTACTGGATTGCCATTAAAAGAACCCCCGGGACCCTCCCAAAATGGCCTTTTCGTCAAACTGCTAAAAAATAATTAACCCTTGGATGGCAACTTCGTAGTTTTCACTATTGGCAGGCCTTCATTTGAAACTGAGACCTATATAAAAACTCGCACTTCGAGGCTTCTTGAATTAAAATCATTTCGCTCCCCCGTCTCTTTTTCTCTCTTGCTCGTCATCTATATTTTCTCTCAATTTCAGTTCAATTTTTTGAAGAAAAAATTCATATTTTCTTCGAATTCTCCTTCTACATTTCTTAACAAATATCTAGACGTTTCATTCCTTTTTTAATTTTTCTGTAGTTCAATATTTGAAACATCCGCACAAGATTTTTTTCTTTGATTTTATCCAAGCGTTTGAAACCCTAAACCTAATTTTATTGCGTTTCGAAGAAGTCAAAGTAGGCGGTTTCGTAGACTGAAGCACGGAGAAAGCTTGCATTCCTTTTATTCGGAGGTCTGATGAAGCTTTATTGAGTTTTAGTCTTTTCATTGATTCTTTCTTCTATTTGAACATTTTTATAGAGGATTAAAGCTGAAGAATCCTAATATATCGATTAAAAAATATACATTTTTAATTTGGGGATTCTATTTTTTTACAGGGGCGATCAACTGGGGATGATTAAGCGTTTATTCTGATATTAAGAAGTTTGTTTTGGGGTTTTTATTGATGTTTTTAACTTAATGAACGCACTTTTGATTGTAAACTTGATATTTAGGGTCAATGTCGGAATCTTGGGGTTTTTTTTTTTTTCGGGGAAAGGGGGGGGGGGGGGGGGGGG